AAAAGAATACTAATATTGTGTGATGTGAAAATTGTATGAAATTAAAATATCAATGTCCACAAGCAAAGGTTTCTTGGAACACAGACATGCTCATTTGTTGACGTATTGTCTCTGGCTGCTTTTATGCAATAGCAGAGTTGCCTAGATGCAAGAGAAGGTAAGGTCGCAAAGCCTAAAATATTTGCCATCTAGCACTTTCTGGGAAAAAAAAAAACAAAAAACAAAAAATTTGTCAGACCCTGATCTAAGACATTAAATGCATTAGAGATGTTAAATAAGAACATCTCAAAGGAATAAATTTCAGACAAACCAAGGGAAATGCCATCAAATAGCCACACTAAGGTCTGAGCTCATAATTAAGACCAAGCGATTACAAGGAGGAGCAGGGTATTAAAAAAAAAATAGAGGAAGAGATATACAAATTCTACACGCTACAGGTGGTAAATATGGCGATAATAATGTTAGTGTTACTCACTGCCACACCCCTAGTACCTAGCCCACTTCTTAGAGCTGGGCAGGTACTCATTACGTAGTTATTGTATGAATGAAGAGGAAGGGAGGAGAAGGAAATATAAAACAACTGAAATAAGAGTTGCACTGAAATAAGGGTTGGGAGTAAAAGAGGGTTCCAAATACAACCTGAAGATTGTCCGCTCTTGTATACTACGTCCCAGGTTCCCCAAAGTTAACAAAAGTCCACACTTTGGAAGCTAACATATCAAATGCTAAGTGTGTGCCCAGGAGACTAAAGAAATGAATAAATAACTATGGCAACTGCCCTGATACCCGTTCAAACCATCTTTTCCACCCCCTTCCTCAGCCACCAGACACTTACATATTTAGTCCAGAGACTAAATTCAGACTTGGAGATTAGTGAGAGGAAGGAAATCGAATATAAAGCTCATGAAATAAACAGCACCACTTGTCACTGTCGATCTTTGATTAACTGGCTCTTTTTTCCGAAATGGGGCCTCTTTTTTCTCTCTCTCTCTCTCTTTCTCTCTCTCTCTTTCTCTCTTTGCTTGCAGGTAACACCCACACATATCCTTCAGTGTTGGCAGAGATGCTCACTCAGATAACAACTGGAGTTCATGCTGCACATTTTCATCTTCGTGTGTCATCGTCACCATGTAAAACCACAACTATAGGAAAACAAAGCTGTTTGCTGCTCTTCTGTTTAAACTGACATTTCCACCCAGTTCTCACAATTTGTTCTTTGGAGCCAGAAGAGTGTTTAAATATGTCATTGAGATAGCTCTGCCAGGTGAAGTAAAGTAGAATTCAGTACACCCCTACTCTAAGATAAATTTACTTTTCTGCGACTTTTTGTCCCCTCCAAAATCTTTCACAAAGTTTAAATAGGTGAATAGGATAGGGAATGGGGCTTGAGAAGCACACATTCTGGCCCTTAGACTGGCCTCAATAATGATGTCAGCTTGGGAAAAAACCAAAACATTCTTGGGTCACCCATATTTCATCCCAAGCATTTTTCAAATGTGGAGCCCAGTGTCCTGAAATGAACAGAAGGCACACTGAAAAAATGTGCCACATTCTGTTCTGGACAGCGGCCTGGGTTTCTAAGTGCTGAGAGTCCATGAATCTTCAAGGGGAAAGCACGCATTCCTTTGGGATACCAAATCAGAGAAAGTTGAGAGGTTCGCTCACTCAGATTCGTTCCTGAAGAACCAAACTTCTGGGTACCACTGTTTAAAAGTCAAGGTCGGCAGTGCTCCATAGTTTTGGAGACACAGATAAATTACCAAGCAAGACCTGGTAGGGTTCCCAACATCCTGTTTCCTGCTGCTTAGTGGGTGGTCGGGCCCCCAACAGGATGAATTAAGAAATATCTTTAATTTTTCTCACTCATCCATTATCTCTGTTCCACACAAGAAGAATGGGGTACTACTTTAAAAGCAATCGATCTGTTTTATCAGACCAGGAGTAAAAATGAATTCAAGACTGCAGGCAATTACACTATTTACATAATTAGGTAGCTAGAATACAATAGGAGGTCTGTTAGGTGAAGTCATAAAGTTTGCACTTTATTTCATTTTGAACTTGAGTTTCAAGATATTAGAATCTTTTACAGAAGTAAGTTACATTATTTTTATGAGCCCAATAAAGGAGTGCTTATTGAGTAGATTCATTTACTGACTGTTTTTTACCAATCTAGTTCCAATTGATTAGATCTGTCCTATTAAACTCATGGGCGATTAGCTGAGTTCAGTCTTTCTTGGAGTAGGAGACATATAAGTTCATCTTTTTTTCAAGTTCTAATTACCTTTATTAAGTTTAATGAGCTCTGTTTCAACAAAGAAAAGAACAAGTGTGGAGATGAACTCATATTACACCTATCTGACTTCAGGCCACTCCTAAAGGTAGATTACAATGAGATAAATAGGAGCTGCTCTGTGAATTATCAGACCAGCTCTAGTGTCTCCTGTTAAGGGCCTTCCCCTACCCACAAGATAATAACAGTGGGTATATGTGTGACGATTAATACGTCTGATTTGAATTTTCAACTTGTTCCAAGTGCCACATTTTGTTTGTTGTTTTTCTTTTATTTTTAAACTTTCACAAGCTATTGGTCTGTGGCAGTGATGACTCTGGTTCTAGGTCCATTATTGCCACCACCTTTAACCTCCAGCATGTAGTTGAATTTATTACTTTGGTTGTGGTTCCTATCTGGCAGAGCAAAAGGCAGGGGCGAGGGCATCTATTTAATCATCCATATCCCCATTAAATTATTCATGAGAACTCTGTTAGTTAGCCTAAGGGACTGATAGAGTTAAGGCTGAAGTTTGATCTCTCTCATAGAGCATTCGCATCACATAGAATGCACAGGTAAGCCCTCCCTGGCATCTCAGAAATGTAAACCACTGTTTTGAGGAGAAATTGTGACTAAAGCCAAGCAAACAAACGAGAAGTATACCTTCCTTGAAGTGAAACTAATGTTTGAAGATCTGGGTTTTTGTTTTAAAAAAGGCTAAAACTGAAGATTTGTTAAAAGGATTTATCCCACATCTTTTTTAAATAGCAAGTTTCCTCCAGTTTCATTGCTAAAAGTGAAGCATATCTGCTCAAATTTAAAAGCAGGCACAGGTAGTTCAGTAATTTTATCACTGAATACACAGAACATAATGTATACTTGGTCTCTTTAAATTGGCATGCTCAGCCCAAAATAAGTGAGTTCACAATAAAAACTTATAGAAATACTATTAAGTATAAAACTGTTAGAATAATAGCAGCAAATGACATTGTTTTCTTCATAATTACTATATCTGAAACTATAAAAGCATGGCTCCAACCACTGTTTTTAAACCATTTCTTACTTCATACTCATAGTGAAAAAGGACTTCCCTATTAACATTTCTACTGTGGTTCTGTTCAAAGTGAGTAAGAAAAATCTAAAGTGTGATTCATCTTTAGTAAATCTATTTTTCCCATCAGAAAATAAAACCATTTATTACCAAAGATCAAATCTTTCCATTTTTATTTTTTGTTTATTTATTTATCACCATTGCCCTTTCTAAAAATTCTCTAGTTCTATCATTGTCAAATCCAATCTGATAATTTGGATCAAAGAACTTTGTGTGCCAAAAGGCTGGCAATGTAGTACATATGCCAGTATAAATTCAACAGTTCTTCATTCCTCAAATACTTCTGGGTTTGGTCTTCTTTGGATTATTTAAATTCATGGAATGGAAGGCCACTTAAAAATCAACCAAAGTACAATATTTTCTGTCTGAAATCATAATATTCTTATCCCTCTCCACATTACAAAAAAAATTAAAAGTTCTCTTTATATACATAAAAGTAGGAGGAGGAATACTGTACATTTCATTATAAGCTAAAATATTCTGAAACAGAAAATGGTGAAAGTTAAGAAGGTCTCAAATTTTATAGCACCTCGTCCCTGGGTACTAGGTTTAAATTTGTGTTACAATATTCTCTCTCTTCTCAGGTCATTTCCCAGTTTAATTTTTACACATAGTTTATCTCTATGGCAATAATAATAATAGCTAACATTACATGTCAGGCATGGTGCTAAGTGCCAAGGACAAGCAGGAGAGAAAACAAACTTGGGCCATGTCTTCATGGAGATTATAGTATAGGAACAGACAATTGTGATCATTATCTCTATTTTATAGTTAAAGAACCAGAGTCTTAGAAAGACAGTGGCTTGCCTGAAGCCAACTAGCAATGGGACTTGGACCAGGCCTTTTTACCTTTAAAACCTAGACTTCTCTAACATCTGAATAAATCAAAATACTAAACAGTTGTGAAGGCAGCAGTAGAGCCGTTCTTCAAGGTCCCCAAGCATACTTCAGTTAACTCAAACTGAAGGTAGAAACACGTCCATGATTACTCCAGGGTAAGTCCATGCAAGGTATCTTGAGAACTTTGATGCTGTCTCAAAAGACACATTCCAAAATACTTTTCCTTGTAGATGGACTTCTAGGGTAAACAGGCAGCTGAATCCACAAAGTTCAGAAGCTCTGAGCCCTAAAGCCCATAAAGTCCCTACAAAGAAATTTCCTCCAGGGCTCTTCTGCCTGCTGTCTTCTGGAAAACTTCCACCTGCTGTTGGCCAGCTCCTTGGCACATGACAAGAATCCCATCATTCCCTTCCATTCTCCTTCTTTCAGAAAAAGTGTCTTGGGACTCATCCTCCTCACCCTAATGAATGCAAACATTCCTTTTTCACATTATCATCCCTTCCCCTAAGGATGTGCTTTCAGCATCCCACTTCAGATCTCTTTAGTGTAGACAATAAAGAGACTAACTGTGCAATCTGAAATATATAGAACAGAAAAGCAAATATACAGGATTTGACTGGAATGAGCCACTGAACAAAAAACAAATATACAGGATTTGACTGGAATGAGCCACTGAACAGATAACCCTTCACGATATTCAAATAATTTTGACATCAAGTGGGCTTATTTCCAGCTATATTCTTCCTTGGTGTAGGAAGACCATCTTTTTTTTTTTTTTTCCTAATCTTATTGTGAGGACTACATTGATTTCCCATCACAGGGAGTAAGGAAAGCGAGTTGGTTTGCCTTGCATTGTTTTGAAGGTATTCCATCGGTCAAAATAACTGAATATGACCAGAATACATCAAAGACAATATCTACATCTTTCTAAACCAAAAGGAAAACAGCACTAAATATCAATGAAGTGGCTCATTTCATGAGTAAAAGACAGTGTTATAATGGTTTTAAAAATGTTTAAGTCTCCTTACTCCCATTCTAATCTATTCCTACTCTAAACCCCCATTTAACCAAAGGGAATGATTTTCTAACTTTTCTTCTCCATTAAATGTCTTTCGATATCATACTTTATTCGACCACAATGTGCACATGAGTGAGAAAGGAGTAAAACTGGAAGCAAATTTTAAAGCTAACCTCTCAATTAAGTCAATAAATACATAGTAAGTTTGAATATTGGTCATGGCACTACGAAATTTAGCCTGCCACAGGAGGATTCTTTAACTTCATTTCAGAGTCTCAAAATGATGTTCTTTGGTCCAGTCATTATAGGAAAATCGGCATTGATGGCCTAATAGGAGCCTGAGATGGCTGGCTGAAGACGAGGCTGTCCTTTCCTATCCAGAGCAGTGGTGTTGAGCAGGTGAAGAGGTGCCAGCCGGCTTGCATCTGGATAGGCGTCCATGTCAGGAGCGGTAGGCTGCAAAGTCACGCGCTGGGACATAGGGCTGGTAAAGTCTGCGGGTGGGTCCCGGCCGCCGGGGCGTCATGTTCATGTAATCACTCTGAAGGATCCGATTCCTCTTACTCTTCATCTGCAGAAAAGAGAAGTATCACTGTGAAAGAGCCAGGGACATGGAGAGAGATATCATGGGAGGAGTTCTGAGACTTTGGGGCCAACTCTTCAAACCGTGGACTGTCAAATAAAGCTGAACACACCAGAATTCATTGAGCTTTTTAGACTTAGATTATGACTAATCGAACCTAACGACTTTGGACTCGTCTAAATTAACCTGAAAAATCTGAATCAAAGAAAGTGTTTTAGAGAAATGCACCCATGTTACTCTCAATGCAGTCATTTGACCTGAATTTCAAAAGCATATCTAATTAACATATCTGCTGTTGGTATGTAAATACTCTTGAAGGCCCTTCCTCTTTAAGGTTAAGCATCCCCACTGCAGTCTTCTTACATTAGTCATTTGCTTAACAAGCCTTTTTTCCATAATTAACCAAAGAGGACCTTCAGACCTCCAGAGTCTGGAGTAATCATAACTGCATAGCAGTGGAGTCCAAATTAATGGGAAGTTATGGTTGTAGGAAATTAGTTACATTTTTATTCCTTTATACGTATGCGCATTGCCATAAAGACAGTAGAGTCACTCATTTTTGTTCCTCAGGCTCAGCTCTCTCTGAATGAATTTCTACCAGAAGTGAGAGAAGTAAAGTAATACTTGACCTGAAGCAAGATTTATATGCCCATGAATTTTAGCCAAGTTTCGATTAGGGGTTAAAAGCACTTTTTCTGGGTCAATGTTGTGGTAAAATTTTAACATTTGGTAAAAGACCCACAAAAATTCTAAAAATGGAAAGCCACCATCCAGATTTCTGAATTCAGAATTCTCTATTATGAAAAAAATGCCTATTTCCTGGCACATAGGCCTGATACATAAGTAGACAACTTGGACATGAGTAATATGAACACTTGAATAAATAAGTAAGCAAGATTTCAGCCCTGGCCTTATTTCCATGCACTGCTACCTGAGCATGTCACACCTTGCCTGTCAAAGGAACGTGAGTAAGTGTTAAAGAGAGGTTAGAAAAACACTGACCTTCACATTGCTAAATATGACTAACATTTTCAGTCCTCATCTTCTTGAACTCTCAGCAGCATTCTGTATTATTGATTACTCTTTCCTTTTTGAAACATTTTTCCACTTTGCCTTCTACAAGATGGTACCATCCAGGTTTTCATCCTGCCTCTCTGGTCACTCTTTTTTGCTTCCTTTGCAAGCTCATCTCTAACTAGCTATTCAATGTTAGAGTTCCTCACTAGGAGGAACTCGGTCCTAGGCCTTCTCTACTCACTCTAGGTAATCTCATCAATATTCACAGCTTCAGTTATCACCTGTTCACTCAAATTTGTACCTCTGGACTAGAATTCAAAGTCATTTTAAACTCAATATGTCCAAAACAAAACTCAAGATCTTCCCTTAAAATCTGGTCCTCTCCTAGTGTTTCTCATCTCAGTGACTGACACTACATATACACAGTTGCCCAAGCCAGACCACCTAGCCTCATTTTTGACACCTCTTACCCCTATCTCAGGGAACATTTGACAATGTCTGAAAACACTTTAAATTGTCACAGCTGAGAAGAATGCTACTGGCATCTAGTGGGTAGAGACCAGGGATGTTGTTAAACATCCTGCATTGCACGGGGCAGCCCCTAACAACAAAGAATCATCCAGCCAAAACATCAGTAGTACCAAGACTGAGAAATTCTAATCCAGAGTCTGATCATGAAAAAGAATGGAATGGAAAGGAAGCAATGGAAACAAAATATATCATCAAATTGGAATGAATATTATTAGTCTGCTTGTCTTCTCCTTCTTGCTAATATCCGAGGATGACGGATGATTCGAGCATGTGTGATTAGAAGATGGTGTTCCATCCATAGATATAAGGCAAGACAGGAGAAGTAGATTTGAAGAAAATTATAAACTCAGTCCTTTGGAATTTGAAATGATAGATGAGTTATCTCAGTGGAACTAAGAAGAAGATAGCATTAAAAATACATAATTGGGGAATTCATTTAGAGGGAGGCAGTCATGGAAACCAAACAGGTAAAGGAAGTTGCTCTTCAAACATCTTGGTTCTATATCCTTTCTATAAATGAAAAACTAGAATTCTCTTGGACACAGGGTTATGGCAAGGCAAGAGAAAGAAAATGGAAATGTCTGATCCCAAATAAATATAGAAGGCTGTTGATGATACCCTGAGTTGCAATTTAATACTTATTCTAACCCAGAGGACTCCCCTTGCCAGATTCCCAAGTGACAGTCTTTGCCTCTGGACACCCAAATAAAACTATAGCTGGTAGAAAGGATCTAATAAAAAAGATGTCTTAGTTCTGAGATGATCCAGGTTGCACATTAAACTATAAAAGATCTGCTGCAATCAGCTCTAAAGTTTATCCTCATGCTGTTATCAGATGGTAGATTTAGTCATCATCACCCTAACTCTAAACTCAACAGTGGGATGTAAATGACTGGGAATACTATACAGAACCCACAGTATCCATGTGCATCTAGTATGTACATACATATTTGCATAATACTCACCTCATGTGTCTGTGTGACTGGGTCATCTACTCTGCCCTTTCACCATTCAATATCTACTAAAGATGTATGATGTCAGGACCACTCCTCCCTTGCCCTTCTCTTCACTGCAGCCCTTACCCACTTGTTTCCTAGGAGCAGTAGCAAGATGAGATGCCTGTACCATGCAATTCACTTAATCACACAGTTTTCAAGAACTCATTAGATTTAAAGGCAGATACTACCTGAACACACACTATCCACATTCCCCACATTGTGATTTATAGTGGAGAAGACAATGGTTTTTAAAAGGGTCCTTTAGACTAAGGAAGGGAACAAGCTTACCAGCTCAGCTGAATGAATGGAAGATTGAGTGAGAGTAACAGGTGCTGGTGAGTGGCAGCCAGGCAGAGGGGAGCTCACTATTTATTCAAATGTCAGCAATAGGTCAAGAACTGAGATAGAATCTGCAGTTGCTCCCAGAAACCCACTCGGCCTAGAACTGCCTACTGTAGCACATCACAAGCCCTCAGGAAGTTCCAGAAAACAGAAACTTATGCCAAGACACGGCACAAACCAGCCAAAAATAGGATCTCAGAAAAATATACAGGAAATAGATAAAGTGTAGGGATCCCTAAGGACCTGGCTGCCTAGCTCAGCAAGGTGCTGGTTGCTCAAATAGTAGCAGCAGCAGAAAAATATGAGTCCAGGGTAAAAATGCTGTGTTATTCTATGAAATACATACATACATACATACATACATACATACATACATACATACACATATACATATATACACATATACATATATACACACACACATATATTACCATTTTGGTCAGAAAATACAAAGACCTAGGTTTGAGATGTAAATAAAGGGTAGTTATCAGGTAACTGAATTGATTACAAAAGGTCACAGATGATAAGAGATGTCAAGCACTGGGACTTCCCAATTTACAGGGAACCTGTGAGACAGAATAAGACCAAAATAAGTTTCTCAAGACAAAGCAAGATGAACTTTGCTAGGAAGTGGTAGTGCTGTCAAAGAAAAACACATAGCGTCTATGTTGTTTCCGAGTTGACAGTAAACTGTTAAAACTCCTTGAAAACGAGAAGCTGCTTTTGTCCCTTTGGATGATTTGAGTCACTTAGCAAATTAGTACCTGATTATAGTAACTGATACTCTGATGCATATTTACAATAAGCTTTAAATGATGAGCTGTACCTTTCTGGCCACTAAAAGTTAAACAGTTCCCAAAACTATTTCCTGCAAAGCTAGTAAATTACATTGACCTAGGTCAGCATATTATAGGGGAGCACTTGTCCTGGAAGGATACCCAAAAAACCACTGCACTTGGCTCTTAAATTAAGTTGAGATTCTCAGTGAGATCAGGAATAAACAAGAATTAAGATTCTAAATTCTGAAATCATTGGCAAACACCATAGTGGTTAAAAGTTGGAAGGTACCTTGGATGAAGACACCAAGATCCAGAAAGATGAAGGGACTCGGCTAACATCAGAAGAAGAACTTAGGCAATATTTCGCTACATAAAAAGCTTCTATCAGGTTTTGGCAACTTGAAGAAGGCAAAGCAGGAGTATTCCAAGATGGTATCTAGTATAAAGGATTCCCAGGAACCAGCAGTTGTTCCCTACCCTGCAGAAGGTAGAAATTAGGCAACAAGCAGCATGTCCAATGTCCGCCTGCACCCTAGGGTCTTCCGAAATGGGCAAAGCATGTGAGTAACAATCAAGAGGCAAACTTTGGCAATAGGCCAATGAAAATTTAAAAGAGTCCCAGGTTGGATCTATTATTGGCATGACTGTGAACCCAGAGCTGCCCACCTCCTCCTAGCACCAAGATTAGAGTAAATAAGATGGCTTCATGTGGCATAGCTTCCAAAAATCACTGACTCATGTATGGATTAGTTAAATGGATGGAGTATGCCTTCAGGCATGTTCACATAAGTCCTTATTTTGGCCTCTATGGAGGTTATAAAGTTATCAATTCAATAAGCATTCATTAAGCATTAAATGTACTTAATACCAGATGGATGGTGAATGTAAAGAAAAATGGTTCTTTGTCCTTGAGGAGCATACATTTCTTGTTGAAGGAATGACTTGTACATGCATCTAACTTTTAGAAAAAAAATTTGAAGACAAAATGGAATCAATAATGAGATATTCTGTACTCTAATGTATATCTAAGAACAGGAAGTTCCTGAGTAAGGGAAAGATCCTTGATAAGGAGGTCTCTTCTTAACAATAAAGACGATCATCAAGATATGTTCAAACCTCGGCCAAAATTTCAACATTGAAGAAGGTAAAGAAAAATGCACCTGGTTTATTGCATGAACATTTGCAAAAGTTGGTAAGCTCCAATTCAGTGATGAGAGCTCAGAAAAGTCTTTCGTTACAGTTTCATAATGACAGCACCATACTTGGCCTCACTAAATTCAACTGCTTCAGGAGAGATAAAAATATGACTCAGATAAACAGACCTAGTTTCTCTGCTAGGTTTGAACGCATAATTTCAGTAGCCAGATTTCTCATGATTTTTTAATCTGAACCAAAGTTGTTCATTGACTTCGGATGCCTAGATTCCCAAACTGCTTAGGTTTTTTTATATATGTATATATTAAAACTATGTTATATCTTGTAATGATACCGCAAAATGGGGAGAAGAAAAGCAACTGCACTTAACGCCCCACCCTAATTTAATCATTTAGCTTCTTATTCTGCATGGCCACCTAACCGGTGTGTCTGGAAAATAGAACTACCAACTGATTTTTAACTCAGATAAAGTTGTACAAGCTAAAAGAGAACCTACTTTAACCTAGCAGGTAAAAAGAAAATAAAAATAAATCACATGTTAAACAGATGATAAACCACATAGGCAAAATACTTAAATATGATCAGATAGCATGTGCAATGGAAAAGTTACATAAAAGCAGTGCTGCTTCTCTTACCCAGCAAATACAAAGAGCCATTGTTACTAGTAAGCTGTAGAAAGCCAAGACTCCACCAACCACCACCAGTGCCCAAAATGGCTTAGAAGAGTCAGGAAACTGGTGAGCTGGACAAAGGTGATTCTCTGAAAAATAGAACAGAACGGATTAAACAATATGAGAATGGCACTTGAGTATATTTTCTTCCTTCTGAACATTATGAGAAAATGGGATCAAAATATGCAAAATATCATTAGCTTAGAATGTATAGACTTCCTCTTTGGTTTATCTTCTTTGGAATTTATCCAACCCCATCACTGATCATGACCTAGTTTCAAAACTATAGTTGAACACCATTACTTTAGAGTGATACACTGGTAGATTTGCATGTTACCTTTCACGTGGATAATGGTTCCATTGCTCTTCTCGTTGTCTATGTAAGGAGGAGGATACATGACCTCTATTTTGCAGAAGTAAATATCCGTTTGGTTAACATACAAATTCCGGAGGTAAAATGTCACTGTTTCGTTGCCCAATTTCCCATCACAGTTGAATCCTGGAGCTGACTGAAACCGAAGCCGATGGGAGTAGTTTCCATTCACAACGCAGACTTCCACAGCACTGTCTGCTCCCTTATAAAGGGATGCTCGGAACTCCTTTGAGAAGAGGTTGTAGGTATACTTGCAGCTAAGGTTGACCGCATTGTTGTACACCACAAGCATGGGCGACTGCTTCACCAAAATCTTGTTTTCTGGAGGGGGAAAAATCAGTTGCTTAGAACAAGGGTATAAGCACTTTTTTTCTGAAATCAAGATATATTAATTAACAAAATAAACCTCTCCATCAAAAGCTCTCTCTTGGCAGATGAAGATGTAGGAGCTCTTTAGGAGATAATTATACCAAGAGTTTAAAGGTGTATGGTCTGATATTATTTTCATCCTTCCTTGAATGAAACAATGGAACATGTTTTCACTTGGAAGGCAGAAGTGGCCTTCTGTTGGCACTGAGCACCACAGATATGTATTTGGAATTTTTAAATCTGTACTGAGACTTCTAGGGTGTTAATTATGCTTAACTGTGTTAGTTTCCTGACTGAAATGGCTTTTAACACATGACATAGATACACAAATAGATTTGTTTTTAAGTTGTTATACAGGCGTTCAGGAAGGAATTAAAGTGTTTTGAAACATTTTAACTTTGTTTATTAGCCATTCCAAGAGTAAGATAAAGAGGTAAAAGAAAATGTAACCCAAAGAGCATAATTTATCTTACACAGCCAATTCTGAGAACAGCCTTCTCAAGAAATTTGCATATTTGTTCTTTGAAATCTGAGAAGATGGAAGAGGCCCACAAGAGTACTCTCTCTTGTCCATCTTGTACCTATATGCTAGTCCAGTAAAAGACCAGAGAATCGAGAGACCATCTAATTCAATCTCTTCAGTTTTAAAGCAAAGAATCTGAAGCTAGGCCATAAAACCAAAACCACATGAGGGAAGAGAATACATCTGCTGTGTCTTGTTTCCCACTATAATCCCATTGCTATAACCCCCTGGTACATGACAATATATTCCTTTCTTTTTCTACTGACTGCCTGAAGCCTAAAATCACTGAGCAGATGGTGAGCAAAGCTAGGACGAAAATCCAAGTCAACTTACAACCATTTGAGAAATAAACCACTTAAAAGCATTGAAAACCAACTATGCAACCAAGACTCTCCAAAATTTCTCTAAAACAGTAAATCGCTTTGTATCTTTGATTCAAATTTCAGTACTTTTTTTGCTATCATTTGGTGGCACGCTAACAATTGTCTACCTACTTACTTTTTTTAAAACAAGGTTATTTGAAGCAACGCTCCATACACTCATACTGAAAAGACAAATAAAATCAGAATCTATTAAAATGAAATTTACAATTTAACCTGGATTTGCATTCATGTAGTCAGGTGTTTTGCTTTTGCTTTTGGAAAAAGCGAGCTGCATAAAATTAAATTACTAATAGCTTTTCACTTCCTACATTGTTCTCAATGCTGGTTGTACATCAAAAAATTTTAAAAAAGAAACCTATGCCCAGATCCCATTTCCAGAAATTGGTCTATGCTGTGGAGGAGAGAGTATTTGTTTTGTTTCTTTTTATTTTTTATAACAACTTTATTGAGATATAATTCACGTACCATAAAGCTCACCCTATTTTTTTAAGTTCGACCCTTTTAAAGTGTACAATTCTGCGGCTTTTAGGATATTCGTGAAGTTGTGAATGGACCATCACTATCTGATTCCAGAAAATTTTTATTACATCCCCTCCCAAAAGAAATACCATACCCATTAGCAGACACTCCCTGTTCCTCCCCACTCCAGCCCCTGGCAATCACTAATCTATTTTCTGTCTCTCTGGATTTGCTTTTCCTAGATATTTCGTGTAAAAAAATCGTAAGATATGTGGCCTTTTGTGTCTGGTTTCTTTCATTTAATATAATGTTTTCTGAATTTCATTTCTTGTTATGAATGAAAAATGTTCCTTTGTATGGATATACCACATTTTATTTTTCCAATCATCACTTGCTTCCACTTTTTGGCTATTATAAATAATGCTTCTGTGAACATTTGTGTACAAGTTTTTGTATGGACATGTTTTCAGTTCTCTTGGGTACATACCAGGAATGGAATTGCTGGGCCATGTAACTTTATTTTTAACTTTTTGAGGAATTCACAAACTATTTTCCAAAGCAACTGTACTATTTTACATTCCCACCAACAATGCATAGTGTATTTTCTCTACATCTTTGTCATACATTTATTATTGTCCACCTTTGTTATTATACCCATCCTAGAGGATATAAAGTAGTATCTCATTGTAATTTCATTTGCTTTTCACTAACGACTAATGATGTTGAGCATTTTTTCATGTGCTTATCAACCATTTATATAGCCTTTTTAGACAAATGTTTATTCAGATCATTTGCCCACTTAACTGGGTTGTCATTTTACTGTTGAATTATCAACATTTTTTATATATATATTTTTGAATCAAGTTCCTTATCAGATATGTGATTTGCAAGTATTTTCTCTCATTCTTGGGTTGTCTTTGATATTGTCTTAAAAATTCCCCTAATTGATTCTAATATTCAGTTAGAGTTGAAAATCACTACGACACAATAGGTTTCTCAGGCTGAAAGCATATTAGAATCACCTGGGGAACTTTTAAAAACTCCTCGATTCCCAGGCCAGTTAAAACAGAATTTTGTGGGTATAGTACCCAGGCATCAGTATTTTCAAAGTTTCTCAGGAAATTCTAATTTGAAGTCAAGTCTGATAACCAGTGGCTTAACAGATGAAAACTCATTTCTTATTCTCAATTCATAGTCCTCCACAGGCTTTTCTAACCTCACCCCCCTCAAACCAAAATTCTTCCAATTAGCTAGACCATTTAAACCAACATTCTGGGAACATACTGTGAGCACTCTTCTCTCCGTACTTTGTTCAATAACTCCAGGGCCTAGAGTGCCTCTCCTCTCTAAGGTCTCAGAACAGTTACTGTCTGTGTCACTCATTTGCCCTTTGGTCAGGTTCTACATTTTGAACACCTCTTGTTTCACGTGCTTCAGTTTGTTCATCTTTTGATTTGCGTGTATTTCCTCTAGAATCCTAGTTTCCAAGTCTCTTGAGAGCAAGGACCATATGTGACTTTTTTTTTTTTTTTTTTTTTTTTTTTTTTTTATACTACTGTGCAAATAATAGGATCTCATTAAATAATAAGTGAAAGGTGGTGACTGGACTGTATCATTCTTATCAGCAGCTTGGCCTGACTACCATCTCATTAAATTCTTATTCAAAATTGCTTCTCAACGATAACTTTAGCTTCATTTATTAATCATTCAACAAATACTCATGAAAAGCACTAAAAAGTATATGTAAAAATCAAAAAGTTCAATCTGTCTTGGTAGGAAAATCCAGCTTGTTTTCTGTTTGGTTTTATTTTGCTTGGCCTTTTTCTTTGATTACTTAAAAGGAATCATTGGGCCAGTTCTGATTGGAAAAAACAACCCCAGACCTCCAAGAATTGTGTTTCTGTTACTAATTATTTGAATTATGTTTTATGGGCATTCAGATTCTTCTTGATCTGCCTTTGAGAGCTGATAGAAGAAAAAAAAAATGAGAAGGGCTGTGGGGTTGGGGAGGGACTTAGGCAAGGAAAGGCTGGAGAGAAACCCTAGAAGGTCAGCCAGTTTGTCTTCCTTCTCCCAGCATCCACAGTGAGGCGGAGGAAGCAAAAGGAGAGGGAGGGAAGAAGGAAGAGAAGCTCTAGCAACTGTATCCCAGTAATTTGCTTACTATGTCTTGTCTAGCTCATCTTCCCAAGATGCATGTGGGAGAGAAAAATTGATTTCCCAAAGATGAACAAAGCTCCGTTTTTTTCCTTGAGTAGTTTAGTCTGGTGGGGAAGAAAGATACATAAACAGACAGCTACTTAAAAAATAACGGCACAGCGATCTATACAGTGTTGCTAAGGGCAATTGAGGGATCAGCTAAGGATTTTTGAAGGAGGTGACTGCTGACCTGAGTCTTACAAGTTTTTATTGAGTAAAAGTTAGACTAACTAAGGAGAGTCTTTGTATTAGAGGGTGGAATGAGGTAGAAGTATGTGTGTTAGGGTAGGAGGTGAGGTAGAGGACTGTGGGGAAGATAAGACAAAGAGAGAAAAAGAATAGTCTAGTCAGAGATGATAAAGAGGTGAAAAAGAGTATGATAGATGTAGGGAATTACCTCAGTTTTTCTGGACCATGTGTTATGTAAGACAAGACTGGCAACACAAGCATAGTTCATACTTTGGGATCTGTCCTGTAGGCGATGAGGAACTATCAAAGAATTTTAAGCAGAAAAGTGACATGTGCAACTTTTCATTTTGTATAGATCACTTTAGCAAGCACATGGACAGTAAATTTGAAGGGTACAAGAGTAAAAAGATGGAGACAAGTTAGGACACAATTGTAATAGTCAAGGCAAGAGGTGATAAGTTTAGAAAGAACTACAGAACTACAGTTAGAAAGAAATGAATAAACTCAAGAAATATTTACAGGCCAAAATTGGCAGAACTCAGCATTGGCTTAGATGTGTTGAATAAGAAGGAGGAGTTAAAAATGACTGTCATCAGGCCACACAGACCAACCAGTAAGTAACATTGTTTTGTTATTTTGTTGTTTTGTTGTCTGCATCTCTTCTTCATTCATTACATGATGAGAACAGATAGTTGGGAAATTGAGGTGAAGTTTGGAAGAAGACATTTTTCCAGCCCGAGGGATCACTGCAAAGAATACAAATCACCTCAAAGGTTCCTGGAAACAGTTGACTCCCTGGCACTTAGTTCAGTGTTTGCTGTTTTTCACAAGGGGGAAGCAGTGGTCTTTCTTTCCAAAACTATTTTTCCTTTGCAAAGCATAATAGAGTGAGATAACTGGAAGATAGATTTTTTTTTCTGTTCATTCATAGGGTCTCAGCATTGTTAAGACTGATCAGATTTCTCCTGAGCCCATTCTACCTCAGCACTACAAGTTGAGACCTTTCTCGGGGAAGAGCAATCCATGATCCCAATATCTAGGCTACTTGTTTCATGTTCAGTTTCTCCTGGTTCTAGAAAATAGCATCTACATTGGGTCACTCCAACAGCATGTGTCTAGGTGACAGCAGCATCAATGTACTAGTTAAAAGTTTAGAGGTCTCTTCAGCTGCTTTTTCTTTTTGCCTCTTACTATTACCA